GAATCATAGTTGTGAGATTGGGATAATTCGGGGATATTGGTGAGGAAGAGTTTTTTTTTTCTGGTACACATAGCAAGCCTGTCAGACATCTTTCCAAGGCTCTTTTTATATAGTAACCTCACTGTGCCTGGCAGCAGCACCCCCAAGTATGCCACACGGTCCCATTTGTGCTGGCTCCTAACTGGAAGTAGGGGAGCTGTACTGTAAAGGCATTACAAGTGGTTTTAGCACTGCTGAATGGTGTGACTGATTAGTTCCCTTGTGCTGTATGGACACAGTTCCACTCCTTCCAGGTTAGGAGGCAGCTCTCTGGGTACAATACAGTGTGTGAGGGCACTACTTAGTAAGTTTACTAAGTTAATGGCCTAAGATTTATGGCCCATTCACTATAGTATTCAAATGCCTCATGATCTTTCATAAATCTGTCTTTGCAATGCTCCTGTGAGATATGTCAGTACTTTGAATTTTAATGAACCAATGTGGAACCAAGGCACAAAGAGGTTAAGTGACTTGCTCAGGTTCACACCAGGAAGCTGTGACAACAAGCAAGTGAGTATATTAGTTGGTGGCCAGTGCCTTTGCTACAGGACTGTCCTGACACCCTACAGATCTGAGCACACCTACTATATATAGAGCAAACCTTCTACATCCTTTTTTTGGGTTGCATCTGTTTTTGCTTCTGTTTAACTTATTGCAGAGCTAAAATAGGTGGGAGGTGTGGATCCTGCAGCTGCAGTAGTTCAGTTGGTCCTTCCAGTATATTTGCACAGTGCTCATCTGTGCTGTCTTCAGTTTTGACAGCAGGAGATGGCACTTCTGCAGAATGTGAGTCTGTCACTGTATGGGCCAGCTCTGTTCCTGTAGTCATGGGAGAAGTGTCATAGTGCCTGGGTGCAGAAGCTGCCAAAGGGAGTGGACTCATTTTACATTAATTAGGCTCTTCAGCTCAGATGCAGACAGCTACAGGAACAAAAAGGCTAGAGTTTGTTATCTAAGATGTTCAGTATGAATGATTCGATCCACCAGAGTAGGCAGAACAAGTGGAGAGGAAAAGGATGGTGGTAGCTTCTCTGGGAGATATGGGTGCCTCCTTGGATATTTGTCTGTATTGCCATTACTTTGGTATGATCTAACTCAGTGCATCTGTGTGATGAAAATGGTTAAGACCCTTGGTTAGTGATTGAAGTACAAAAAGAGGAGTGTCAGTTTATCCTAGTATTCAGAAGAAAACTAAATGTGCATAATTAGGATCTCCTTTTACTATTAAGAAGTAACTTGAGGATGGTTTTAAAAATGAGGTGTCTGATGATAACGGCTTTTAAAAGTTTGGACAGTAAGAAAGTAGGCAATTATTTTAGAAAAGATGTGGGGAGTCATAATTTCCCCTCTTCTCCCCTCTCCGTTAAGACCTCAGTCCTAGTAATTTGTGTAATTACTTGTTGACGGGAGTGAGACTACTCCCATGAGTAAAGTTTAAGCGCTTGTTTAAATGCTGGCAAACTACATGCCTAAGGTGCCAATTAGGATTTAAGTTATAGTGCAGTAACTAGGATATGCTTCACTGAGTATCTGTGGGTTCTTGCCACTTTTACGTCCAATGGGAGTTCTGTTTTATTCCATGTTCTGTTTTATTCCACCTGGAGACCAATCACTTCCCTTTCTTGTGGGACAGAAGTATATCATCAGAACATGAATAAATTTGGGAAAGGTTTCAAGACGCGGACTAGGCAGAAAGTAGAGAAGGTGGTACCTTGGAGACTGACAGGTTCAAAGAGGCATGAGCTTCATAGGTATCGCTATACTACATCAAGGGAAGTGGTGCTGGCTGTCTACCTTAGGGATCTTTAAAAGGAGGCTTGATAATTACCTAGCTGGGGTCATATGAGCTTAAACTTACCAGGGGTCATATGAGCCCAGTATTCCTTCCTGCCCAGGGCAGGGGGTCGGACTTGATGATCTGCTCAGGTGCCTTCTGACCCTACCAACTATGGACCTATGAATTGGAAGTCCGTTCACAGCACTTGTCAAAGTAGATTGTTGCATATGAAAACTCTCATGCCTACCTGAACCAGTTACTCTGAGGTGCCACTCACCCTGCCAGTTGCTTCTGCTTGACTTCAGACTAACACAACTAACCACCTCAATTACTTAAATTAGCTAGTAATTGTAAGAAGTTGCCACTGACAGGTCTTTTCCTTCCAGGTGTGTATTTTCTGGAATTATGGTTGGCTTAGTTGCTTATTTAGGTCTCTTCATGGACATTAAAAATGTCTCACTTTTTTTCCTTCACACCCCTCCTCCATTCCTAAAAATCTGGGGAAGGCAAAAATGAACAATTCAACAGATGCTGTTACTTATAAATAAGGGTTTAATTATCAATTTTGCCCTTGCAGAAAACTGTTGTGTATTTTTTTCTTTTTTTCACTGAACGTGCTTTGCTCTTTTAAAAAAAAAAAAAAAATTGCACTAAATTCATCTTTGTCATTAAAAAAATTCATTTCAGGTTCTTGTGAACCTCTCGTTTTGAGCATGGAATTATATGCAATCCATTTGTTTAATTAGAAGCATTTTAATTTGTTTAACTCTTCTGATTCATAGACTCACCAAATATGTTTTGTTTTCTTTTTTTCTACATGTTTGAACATTTATTATCTCAGGGTACAGTTTGACATGAGCTCTCTTCTAGTTGAGATCAGCTAGATCAGCTCATCTGTAAAATCAAATGGAACTGTTAACTCCTTATATCCAACACTTTGTAGCCACTTGCATCCAACAGCTCTGGTTAAATCCATTTTTCCCCTGTATGATCCATGTAAATTATTGTTATGTAACAAAATATGTGAATACCCCACAATACGTTTTAAGAGACCAAAGCTGTTAGCGTGGGGCAAAAACTATATTATTGATCCTGGTTGATTATCAGTGTTATCTAAAATACTAATGGAAATTGGATATACTGGAATGCATTCCTTCATCGGTCCAATATTATGATATATATATATTTTTTCTCCTCTCTCTCTCTCAACTTTTGAATGTTAGGGTGTAGTGTTTTTTAATGCTGGCAATAAAAAAACAGTTTTGTGTTCTAGAAATCTCAACAATTGCTTCAAAAAAGGGCGAAGAAAAAAATTCCAACCTCTAATTAGAGCACTGCTCCCAGCCAGCTGCTCTGTTAATCAAAATGTTACTAGCAGTGTGCCTGAATCTGTTTCCCTAATTAGAAGTGCAGAGTTTGTCATGAATCCACGTGACCATCACTCTTGGTCCCTTTACATATAGGGTCAGATTCCAATTTCAATGACGTGTGTCACTCTGTAATAATGCTATTAGTTTAGGAATTATTCTGGATGCTGAATTTGGAGTTGGACCCATTCTATTAAAAAGAAAAATTGCCAGTGGGATAAGAGAGAGGTTCTAATCACCTTGGCTTGGTACAAAGAGAACATATAAATCATCAGTGAGTGACAGGAAGAGTTTTCCTTAAATAAAATAATCACAGTTGAATGGTAAGAAGCCATCTTCTCTAATTGATAGAAAATAGATCTGAAAAGATTGGCCTTTGTTGTAGAAAACTGTGGAATTGAAAGCTCTTCTCAGCTATTGTAAAGATGAATGTTAGAATAAAAAAAAGGGGATTTAATCTGAACTACAGTACAGCCAGATTGAATGTTTCCAGTCTTTTCTTGCTGGGAAAGCAGGTCTTTTCAATTCTCATTCATACTGTGAATTAGTGCCCTTATAGGGAAAATATCATTTGGGCCTGAAACTGCAAAGAACTGAGTGGCTTTGGTTCCTGTTGAAGTCAATAACAGGTGAAAGTTTCCAGCATAATGTGGGATTGGGTTTTCAGATGTTAGTTGCCTTGTGAGCTAACTCCCACATACAAAAGGAAGGTGCTCAAGAAGTTACCAGGATTCTGCTCTAAATTCTAATATTATAAAAGCCTAAGTCTGTCTGTTGGTCTGTAACACTTTATTCACTCTCTGACAGAAGGCAGCCTGCTGCCATGATGCTGGGGACATGGGACAGAGGGGGGGCGCAACAGAGCAGATGGAAAGGGGGTGCAAAGCCAGCAGAATTGGCCTCACTCCCCACTTCTGCTCCCTGCAGGTAATGCAGGGGGGGAGCAGCCCCAGGCCCAACATGGGGTGGGGAGTGGGCCTGAGATGGGGGAAAAGCTGGCCCATGGCAGGGTGGGGAGGGAGGGAGAACAGCGGGCCTGGTCTGATGCAGCTGCGGCTGGGGGAGGGAAGGAGCAGGTCTCCTTCCCGCCTCCCCTTCAGGCCTGGGCCCACTCCTGTCCCACCCCCCTCCCCAGCGTTGGCTCCGAGCTCACTTCTCTCATCCCTGAGTGGGCCTGATGGTTGTGGGGGAGGACTGGGTGCGCTGTGGCATTGGCAGTGATAGTGGGGCCAGGGGAAGCGCTCGCTCCCTCCCGCCCTCTGTGATTCTTGATGGGCAGTTGGATAGTTCTTTAATAAACACATATAGCTATCCAAATTATCTGAATAAATACTAGGAGATATCCTTTTCAGTGGACACATAAAAACAAAAGTCTGAGCCCACGTTTCTAGATTTCTAGAACAGTGTGGGAATCTGAATGACCCATTAGTACTAGAGGTTAATATGATAGGCTTGGTATTTTGTCACTGAACTTCCACTGAACTTGGTATACTGTTCTCAACCTCTCCAGGTAGTTGATTCCCAAAGGATGGCCCTGTTAAAAATTCCTTTTCAGGATGTTTGGCTTACAGACACAAAAGTTGCTTTTTTAAAGCGAGCTCCATGCAGGGTGTCCAAACTCGTTAGCTTCTGGATGCCGTTCTGGATACTGGACGCTACCATGACTGAATAGCTCAAACTTAGTATTAATTACAGCATCTGTCCAAAGTTCACTGTTTAACCTTAAACAACATCTTTAAAGTGGATATTAAGAGATTGGGGGAAACACTGAATTGTGGAAAGCTTCCAATTTTCTCTGTCTTTTTAATCTCTTGCAGGATGCCCGCCAGAAATTTCGCTCAGTGCTGGTAGAAGCTACAGTGAAACTAGATGAACTGGCAAAGAAGATTGGAAAAGCTGTGGAAGACTCTAAACCTTACTGGGAAGCCCGGAGAGTAGCCAGGCAGGTGAGAGAGTTTTTAAGCTTACACTGGTAATTGCACAGAGGCATGACACTAATTGTGAAATATGGATTGAGTGCCTCACATGTTGCTATTAATAGTGTCCTAAGCATAGACATTTGGTGGAGTTGCATGCTTGCAATATGAATTGATGATGAACTCTATTCTCCCCACCCCTGGCAGCTGTGGATGTGCTTCAGTCCAAAAGCAACAACATAGGGCACAAGACATCAGTAGTTAAAAGGCATATTGTATTCTCCTCTGCTAATGATGGCCTTTCAGACACTAAAGACCCACTCATGCTCCCCCCTCTCAGCAGCTGTAATTGCTTCAAAACCAATTACACAACTTGGATTTCTGTTTCTTGTCTTTAAAAAGAGAGCTAAATGCTAAGTGGCTGCGCTACAAAAATTGAAGGGGTTTGGATGTGTTCAATCCTGCTTCTGCTGCCCTGTCACCAAGAGAACTCTGTCCTGATTTTTCTTGCTGAAACCTAAAATATATTACTCTTAAGTAGGCAGTGAATCCTCGTTCTTGTGGTGCAGTATCACTTGGTTCATGTTGCCTGCAACTGTAAAACTTGGGTGTCTAAAGTTAGGTACCTCAATACATATTGTTCACTTCATTTGGGTCAGGTAAAACCCACTTGTCTGTGGCAGGTGAGGGGTGCGGGAGCAGTGGCTATACAGGGGGTGAGTGACTGAGTGCAAAGCTTCTACTTCTCTTTGAAGAAGCCAGGGGACAGGATTTGGCAGACTACCAGACCAGGTGCTAATTTCAGCTTGTGTGTTTGTGTAATTGGAGAGGAGACCAACCCATATGGTTCTCTTCTGGTTGCTCTCAATGTGGGTGGGGATGAAATAGGGAGCAGAGTGTCAGGATTCAGAAGGAAAGGAGCCAGGCGTGATTCTGATTTCAAGGCCATGCCTGTTAATGGGGAGTGGAAGTGAGAGACGAAGAGAATGATAGGGGAGACTCCTTTTTAATATAAAAAGATCAGGTACATTTTTGGGAGTGCAGAAGGGGAGAGAGAGAATGAATGCAAGGAAAGAAGAAAATATACAAAGGGAAGATGAAATACATTCTTAAAAGAAGGTAGCAAGTGCTCCATATTTTCTGTCAAGGGGAAAAAGGCAAGGGTGGATAAAGCACAGGAGATGGACCAAACAACAAATTCAAATTTATTAAATAGACAATTGCACAATAAATAGCACATCTGTGTTAATTACCAATGCGAGACTTTGGCATCAAGGCTTTTGGTTGGAATAGTAAAGATGGGTTTAGTAGGCTTAGTGGTCAGGCTAGGAGATGGGGGGAGGCAAAAATTTGAGTTGTGTTTATAAGCAGAATGCTTGTGTGCTTAAAAATGTGGTAGCTGCCATATAGATGTGATCTCTGCCACAAAAAGCTTAGATGATGCTAGAGAAAAGACTTAACAAAACAGCAGTGCAGCAGGGAACAAGAGATTGGTGGTGACAAAACAAGATCTGAGAGTCATTTGAGTGTATGTGCACTTTGTATTTGTTGCATTTAATAGCATGTGACTAATGTATACATGAAGCATGTTTTTGTAATTCCACCAAAATAAATAATTTGTAAATTTCAAAATACTTAAAATGTTTTAAATTAAAAAGATCCCTTATTCCAGATGTCTTGGTCATCTGGATTCTAATGCCATTCAGCTTTATTTAGCTGTAGGACACACCATCTCTCTTTTTGGTGGACTTCTAGCTCTCTTAGTGTGCTGTTGCTCAAGAGAAACAATATCACCAGAAAAAAAATCATTGTGAGGTCCTGTTGAGCTAAAAACTGTACAGCTACAAAGCAAAAGATATTTCTCATGATTGTTGGCTCAGGTCTTGAGACATAAAAATATTTACTGTCAAGGAGAATACAGTAGTGTTCACACTATATATAGAATTTTACACAGAGGATGATGCAGTGGTGGAGTTGCATCCCCTTTGATTTCTGATCCAGCCAAAGTTTAAAACAAACTTCCTGCCAGTGGTAGCAGTATTTCTATCCAGGCAGCAGTGAAGGGGATCACGTGACTCCATGGCTTATTGAAATCTACCTGATTCCCTGTAAACTCTTTGTTCCACAGGTATTAACAACCCTCTCTCCTTTTTTTTTTAATGGTCTTAATGTTCCCCTTATCAAACTATTCTTTCTTCTACAATTCTGCTGTCTGTTAGGAGCTCCTGGTAATGTAGTTCCTATTTCAAAGCCCTGCAGACTGTTTTCAACTCTAACTAAAAACATTAACTCAGGTATGGAATTAACTTTCAATGAGGCATTGGATTGCACTGTCAAGGTGGTCAGGAAGGCTTGATTTTGCCTTATGAATCTGAGAGATGTACATTTAATTCTAATGACTACAGGACTAATGAAACAACATCTTTTGATTATTTTTGCCTAGTTGTGGTTTTTAATACATAATGCATAATAAGCAAATTAATGCACATGCCAATAAAGTTATATTTGCTTTTGCTTCTATCTTAAACTGAATAATACAGGTGTAGCCCCCTAGCATATTAGTAAAGCTTCTAGTTTCTTTTTACCTGGGGAAAAATGTGTTGTATGTGATGATGCACCAAACCATCTGCTCCCCCCTTTTCAAAATCCTAGATCCACCCATGCCTTCACATAACAAGATTTACAAGAAAAGTTACTGTGTAAACTAGGTAGAAAACATGCCTTGTCTTTCTGTCGTATTTTTTAACTGATTCTCAAAACTGCATGGCTGTTGAAGTGACAAAATGATTCTTATCTTTTGCACTTCCCATTTCATATTTTTCTAATTACCTTTTAATATAGAAATATCCTACTTAAGTTTTTATTTCAGCTTTCTTTTTGCTCAAATACTGGTATAGTTCTTTCTTAACTTTCAAGCATAAGGTCCTTTGCAACTGAAATAATGTGGTTAAAAATGTGGTTTCCCAAACTATTTTTTAAAGTATGTGTGGAGAGAGAGAAAAATCTCCCAAACTACTCTGTGCCACCCACATAAGCACTAACATATTTATTTATTGCTCAGTAAGGAGAAGTCTAAATTACAAATTTATGGGAATGAAGATCTGGCTTTTACTGTCAGTTAGATTAGCTGAAATGCCAAAGCTGTCCCAAGTAACTCAGGTTCAGAGTGTTGAATTCTTGCCTCCTTTAAGCTGGGTGTCTTGATGCCAACTGTGTTGAGTCATACCAAGATGGTTGGCTTCAGTAATGCACCAGTACGGTTCTTCTAGCAAAACATTTTGTGTTGCATCTGTTAAGGTGAGACCAATTAAAAGTGTTATGAAGCTTTAAAGTACAAACTTTGAAAGTACCAGGCTTATAGGTGAAGGTAAATACATTCTTTAGGGCAGCTTGAGAACTGAGGCTTTTCTTGTCCTTTTTCTTACTCTATTTTATGCAATAGTGCACTGGCTGGAAAACTTTGTGAACTTGAAACAAATAAAGGTCCAAAGTGAGAGGTTTGTAACATCTTCTCATGCCAGGGCAGGGAAGTATCAGCTTGGCTGGAGACCAGACACTCTTCTACAATGTGAGGATGGTTCCTGGGTTGGTAGGACTTTTATCTTCTACTCCCTGTCCATTTAGTAGAGCTGGGACAGAAACTACTCATCGCCAAGGCATTCACTTTAGACTGGCAAGCTCTCAGGATCTATAAAACCTTCACCATATGTGAAAGGGATGAGTACTAAATATTTTTGTGCAATGTCCTACAATCATATTCATTACTAAAATATATATTTTAATGAGGCATGCATTTGGTGAGGGAAATACTGCCTAGGAAGCTGAGCACATAAAAGGGCTTAGTTTTCTTTCTCCAGTCTTCTGTATTCAGAAGAGAAACTGGCTATGATAGCAGCCTCCATTTTGTTACTGTTTTATGTGGTTTGTTTGGGTTTTTTTTGTTTTTAGAGGGGTTTTTTGGAAATATCACCTGGTAGTCGGTCACCACTGCCATTTGTTGCAGTCCATCATACATTATTACCAGGGATCCAGGTTTTCTGTTTGCCATGAAAAATGTGGATTTTCTCCTTTAAAGGAGGGCACTATGTGCATGTGTGTGTGCATACATGCACATGGCAGCCAGGCAGTGTGGTGGAAAGCAGCTCCCTCCAGGTAAGTCTGTGGGGGCAGAGGGCACAAGCAACATGTCGGGGGGGGGGGGGGGAAGGGGGGGG